TCCAATCTGTCCTATGCTCTACACAATATCGGGATGTTTGTCGTTAACACGTTCTAAACCCGGAATGGAACCTCTGAATGAACTCGATTAAAGTCGATACAATCGATGTATCTATATGTATGCATTCAAAACTTGTTATGCATTTCAAATTGGACCAGTATTTCATGTGGATTCATGCATAATATCATACGCAGGTGACAACTGGAATGCGGGGTTTTAGAGCAGCAAGCCGATGGAAGTTACACTCTGCTGGACAGAGGCCCTCAGATGGGGACGCACACTGCATTCCAAACTGAATCAGTAGCCATTTTGTTTGTTTTATTGCACACGCCTTAAGACCAGCGAATTATACATTTAGCAATTAATTAATCAGATAATACAGCGTTCTGAAAACAATGTAATACTGCATCAATTATAGAGATTTAAATGTAACAAAAATTTAAAATTTTATTCCTAACATTCTAATAATTCAATTGATATATTTCAGTTGTTTAACCTTTTAATGCACTGTTGTTAATACGAGCATACATACCATCAACTTCAAGATTCAGTCACTGTACATTTGATATACAAAGTATGTTTTGTATAATTCTTAGAACACTTAGTGATTATTTCCTTACGCGGCATCAACTGATTGTTCTTTTTAATGAAGATTCAGTGTATTTTCTGTGAGGTAAGAATAAAATTCTGTAACATTTAGGTTTTCTTCTGGCTTACAATTCTGAAATAAGTCCAAGAGTGAAGAGTACAATCTTCCTGGACGTAACTCCCTGTAATTCGCAGAAAGCCGACGTTCTGTCTCCAGCCACGAAGACTAAAGAATGCAGGAAACCAGTAGATACAAGCGCAAAGTCTCGGAAGTGCATAGCTTTACAGCAGAGTGGGCAGAACTGCATTGCGCCTTGTGTTCAGCCTGAAGCCTAAACTTATGGGCCCACTTCTTGACTTAGGGGATTGTTTCTGTCTGGGTAACAATTCTGCTTCGTTCTCTGGAGGTTCAGATTTCAAATCTCTGCTCTAAGTCTGGCTACACTGACTCAGAACGTTTTTTGTGGTTTCCCTAGTTACTCCAGACAAATGCAGGGACAGTAACTCAAAGTAGGCCATGACCACCTCCTTCCACAAGCTTTTTAATTCAATATTAAGTAATCAGAATTCGACGCTGTATAGACTGAGCTATTGGTAGCGCTGTTAACTCAACTATAAATTAAGTTCTATCCTGGAATTTAGAAATCATAGGATATGAAGAGGCTTATAATATTGTTTAAATTTTTTCCCGTTTCTGAAAGAACTTTCCAAATCATTCAAGTTCAACATCTGATTTACATTGGCTGTAGCCGTTCCTTCAGTCTGGCACTCAACGAAAACGAAATCGTTCTGATCTCTGCGCAAGCGCATCTGTGAGGTCCCACTGCAGCTTCAATACAGTGTCCGAATGAAATGTATCCAAAATAAAATAATTATATCTCAGAAAGAATTTATTATACACATTAATGGGTTACACGACTACAAAGGGAAACTATCTAAGTTTTTTTCTGGGTATAAAACTTTCTAAATAAATATAAACGTGGGCTCCCTTGGTGGCACGACAAATATCCAGACATGAAGTACGGTTATCTGGAATGAAAAACGCAGAGGTTCTGCCAGAAATTGTTAAGGGGGCAGAGGAATCTATTGGAAATGCTGATGTTTGATGTGGCCGCTCACTTACTTAGCTTTTAGCGGTGCATCCTGTCTGCGTCAGCAAACGCCGTAGTTTGGTTGGAGCGAGACAGATGCCCACAGAACATGCCGCCCCCCCTCCCACAACTCCCGCTACGTATGTTTCATTAAGATATGCCATGGGATCTGGCATCTTGCCTTTCTTGCAAGGAATGGTTTTCGAAACTGCCACAAAATCTACCCACCACCATCCACTGATTTTAATTCAGCATCAACGGGGTGCATGCATATTCAACTTCTTAAGCCCATTCCAGCATGAAACCTCAATGCAAATAGTACATGGAAACCCGACTTCATTACTACAAGACAGAAGCAAGTGAAGCTACGAGGAGAGGATAATTTAAATGACATGTCTGGCACGGAATTGTGATCAAGTTGACTAATGTTGAGAAATATTCGGAATTATTCCTCCCACCTGGTTTTCCCTGGACCTTCCTAATGGCATATTCTAAGGCAAAGTTGAAAAGCAGTGGCGATAAAGCATCTCCTTGTTTTAGACCATTCTGGCTAGGAAATTTATCAGACAAATGTTTACCCACACGGACTTTACTATACGTTTCGTTTAAACACATTTTAATCAACCTGACTAGTTTCATGGGTATCCCAAACTCTATCAGAATACTGTACAGTACTTCCCTCCTAACTGAATTATAGGCTTTCTTGAAGTCTATGAATAGCTGATGTACTGTCTCACTGTACTCCCATGGTTTCTACAATATCTGACGAATGCAAAAGATCTGATCTGTAATTGATCTGTTCCGTCGAAACTCACACTGAAGATCCCGAATAATTTCATCTATATATGAACTTAACCTTGAGAGAAGAATATTGGATAGAATTTTGTATGAAGTTGATAGTAGTGATATCCCCCGATAATTACTACACACAGTTTTATCACCCTTCTTGTGAACTATTCAAAATGCTGTGGGAATCTGCAAGCAGATCACCATTCTCATCCTTCACTAAGTTACTGCTAGGTTGGTAACCCCTCTTAAAGTCATTTTTTCCTCTATACAGCTATGAAATATTCTTGTTCTTACTGTTCGTTACAAGCTCATCAAATTTGTCTTTCAGATATTCCCTCTTTTTGTTCCTGAAATGCCTGCTGGTTTCACGTCTTATATTGTTCAGATGATCCCCATTTAACTCGCTTGGATCCTGTAACCTCTGCAGTTTGGCTTGTTTCCTTTTGTCTGATAATTCTGAGCATCTTTTATCGAACCAGAGCTTATGCTTCTTCAGTTCATAATAACCTAGACACTCCTTCCTTCTAACTTTCCCATATTGCTGTAACGCGCTGTTTGCACAAGCGCAAGAGAAACGCAACAGTGAGAGACATGTCTCTCAGCACGTCTGCCTTTCCGACTGCACGGCTCAACACTTGTTCTGCTGCACAGAACTCGTGACATCTAACACGAACGCTATACCGTTAGAAACATCCAAAATTCGTATTTTAATTTCCCGTATTCTGCAATAGCAGCGAGGTGGATACACGAACTTCTGAGGTGGCAGCGACACCAGTGCAGCCACCGGAAGGCAGTAACCATGGTGACCATAGGAAACGTGAGCTTTTGTAATTGTACCAATTGTGATAACGGCAGTGAAGAGTGAGCACGGTAACGAACGTTAGGCAAAGGTACGTTAAAGCTGTCCCTCTGCTTAACTACTTAAAGCACTACGCGATGAAGGCGCGTGGGCGAGTGGATGTGTAGATCCATATTTTCTTGACTTCGGCATTAGTTGGAGGTGAGTGGTCAGCTTGAAGCCCCGGTCGCTTTACCCCCGGAGTGTTAGGAGTCTTTTTTTAATTCGCTTAGAGAGGGGTGGAGTCCAGCTGGGTCCACTCCGCACGGCGGCCACTGATTGGCTTATTGTACCTGCCCTGGGTGATTATGATGATGGAGAATTTGGTGGAATGAAGACTGGCAGGGGAATCCGAAGTACTCGGAGAAAACCCGCCCCAGCGCCATTATGTCCACCACAAATCCCACTTGACCAGACCCGGGATCGAACCCGGACCGCAGCGGTGGGAAGCCAGCGACTAACCGCTTGAGCTATGGCGTGGCCGTGTTAAGAGTTAGTTTCCTTTTTATATTTCTTCGATACACTCAATTCTTAAGTTTGTGAGAACAGACATGTCAGCACAGAGAGTTTACGGGTGCGAGGCATGAAAACAGGACCTTCTGAATCGGAAACACGGACGCTAACCACCGTATTCGGCGAGTAGAACTGTTCTGTGTGCAACTGATAAACAGCTGTTTCGCGCGTCATGTATTTCAATACATTATCTAATCTATATACGCGCCCTATTGTCTCAGTTCCCATTCAGGCCGACAATAGATCTGACGTTTCATATCTTTGTAACACTCAACTGCTCGAAGCGTAGAGTAAAATAATAGGCCCCGACAACAAGACGGAAGATGCACCTGCTTTGAGGCTGGAGCAGAGATTTCTAACATCATGGAAATCTGTCTTTGTATTTCAGGCGGTGAAATATGTTACACCAATTCTTGCTCTCCTTCCCCCCTGTCCCACCCCTACCCCCCACACCTTACTTTGCTGTTGACGCACTACCGAACGCCCTTCGTGCGGTTTCAACTGCAGAGCGCCAAAGCATCTCATCTGCATGCGCGGGATAGGCGGGCCGGGTGAGTGCCGGGACACTGGCTCTCATGAATTAGTTGTCGCGGTTTTACGTAAGAACCTGGAATACTTTGAACTGGCCATGACGCTTCTTTCTCTTCTCCGTACATCAACATCTTTTTTTTATTGCTAGTGGGGTGGGACTAAGTCCCTTGTACTGCGGCCACTTCCGGTCATCAACATCCAACCTCCTCTAACTCCTCACAGTAGGGTCCTTCCGGGGAAGCTAACACTTACTCAGCGAGATGATATTCATCATATTGTAAGGAACCTGAGAGACCATCAGCATATTAATCAGAACCCATCATTACCTTCTGCCCTGAGTCAGATGAATCCACTCTAAAGCCATCATTTATTTTAGATGCAACTTTCTAGAAAACGTAATGTCCCACCTCTTTTTATCTTCAAGCTTTTCTGGATTAATTCCACTTGTAAGTAAGTAAAGTAAAGCTATCCTTGTAACAAGGAGCAATATTGCAGGCGTATTGCATTTAGCCAACCGGGATGGGTACATTTTCCTTTGCTGATAGAAGACACGTCACTCTTTACACGCTCACTGTTAGAAACTGCAGTCGTGAAACTGCTCATTTCCTTCTTCATGCTGTCCTTAAACATAAGTTTCAATAAAAGCTTACCTCTTCGTGGTAATGTTGCCCGATTCTGCGTGAATCTGGAAGAACTGGCTGTCATATTTATCCGGATCCAGTGAGTATTTAATCGCGTACTCCGGGTTGCGTGGATCTACAGCTGTTACCCTGGTTACTTGCACGCCTGATGGTGCCGCCAGATATATCCGGGGTTCGTGTTCCAGCGGCAAAAAGTGGAGGGAATCTGTACACAGAAACACAGCAATTAATTCTACCCAGTCAGGCTTATGACCGTACACCTAAAATTCAAGCTTGGGTTGGATAACTGGCTGGCTGGCGCCCACACAATTTTCCATGGACACGGTAACATACCACACTCTTCTGGTTGTGACACAGTCGAGCTATTAGGTGGATACCAACGTTTCGGAGGAATGTGTTGTTTCCATCTTCACACAAGCCTACAGAATCTGTTTCCTCCTCTGTAATGTTGGTATCTAGTTAGCTGAATTCAACACGTCTCAATACAGTGTACCTGAACACGGATTTTCACCACTAGAAAATCTCATCAAATATCAATACAGAGGCAAATTATCTAGTTTCCTTCTGTACAGAGATATAGAGGCATATAGACAGACGGATATAGAGATAGATAAACAGATACAAGAGCAGCGCATAGGCACTGACAAGCAGCGTGAGGGGAAAACTCTAAGTTGTGCGACATTCGGAAAATACGTGAAAACAGAATACAATTACAAATACTACGCAACGGACTAAGTGGCTTGCGTTAATTATATTGCTCATAATACAAATCTTACAGTGTAGGAACGGCTAAATTTCACCACACTCAAAATACACAAAAATGTTCTGTTTTTCAAAGTGTTATATTTTCTTAACCACGGCAAATCTCTGAATGAAAGAGAAACTAGACTTTGCGTTTTCCCACAGCTGAAAGTAAAGACAGGAACTTGAGGTTTCCAACAAAATTGTGTGCCGGTCCCTCTCACGGCAACGCTACTGTAGCCGTCCGCCGAGGTACAGTTGCCACGACTGTCGCTCGAGCTTGAGTTCTTAATCACAGGATACGGGTGCTTCGGAGATGGGAGTGGAACACACTTCGGGGTAAATAAATCCGGGGGGGCTCCAGAACACACCGTGGATTGCAGTTTTAATTTAAAATTTCATTAATGATGAATATTTACATTATTCTCCTAGCTAGCCGCTCCGTCCGCTGACTAGCTACCGCTACTCTTAAACACTTCTCTCTTCTCTATCTACATTCCCACCACTGTCCTCCTCCGCTCCCTATAGCCGACTCCCATCTTTACAAGTCCCCATAAAACGAAACAAGAAAATAACAAGAGAAAACCAAGGGACGAGCCCGACATCTGCCCTACATTCGTATTTTTCGAGATACCCATAAACCTCTGTAGGTCTTCAAGGAATCTAAGACCCCTCCTGGCCGGTCTCGCACACGGTCAGTTCATGGGTTTATGATATGCTTGGAGTAAACAGGCGACGTTAGGGACAATAGCGGCACCCTTAGCGGTCCCGGGATGGTATCTCGCCGATGGAGCGTCTCTCACGGTATTAAACAATGCCTAAGTAGTTCATACCCTTAATTATATAATTTTGACAAGGGACGTACGGTTACACTGCTTGAACTACTCTAACTGGGCATTCTCCTGGCCCGTACTCCCGAGATCTAAAGCTCCTTGATTTTATCTCTGTGTGTTATATTAAAAGTGTAATTTATGGAGCCGCTGGACGCGCACAGACTACTGAAATACGATTAACGTGCAGGAATGAAACCGTACAGCCAGCAAATGCTAGAACTTGTCTGCGCTGTGACAGATGCCGCTCCAGACGTGATATCTGCATGCGTACAGTTTTAGTGACAAAGATTAATTTCTATTTTCGTATTATTAAATTATGTTTTGCGGTTCGATTCCCAGCCGGGTTAGCCTCATCTCCGTAGAGTCTAGGCCGGGCTCTGTGACGCATTTAGTTGCGTTCAGAATGGGCACCAGGGGAATATCCCCCGGGGTGTAGAGCGGAAGGAACGTGGAGCTGACTACTCAGCGCCATCAAGTAACAGCGGAGCTATACCTCCACTCCCCCCATAAGTCCTAATGACGCGATGCTTAATTAATTAAGCAGAGTGATAAATGTTTCTGTAAGCTATCCTTGTAACAGCCCGGGGAGGCCCATAGGGTTGTGAGATGTTGAGGCTCGCACATTTTCTAGACACTCGGCTCACAGATGGCGGTAAGGTCAGTCTCACGCGCCGGCCGCCCTTTACCTCCCAGGAAGATTCCTGGTACTCATTTCTGTTAGAGGCTGTTTCGATCCCAGGGCCATAGTGCGACTGGAAGGATTAGGAAAATTTAAAATATCAACTTCATCAGGACTCGATCCCGCGACCTACCGGACTGTAGCATATTGCCTCAACCAACTACGCTACCGCGGGCCCCAACTTCATCTGTACCTTTGCCAATTATACGAGTATTTTACGGTTAGGAATATGTGACAGTTTGAGAAGCAGGCATATGTTATGGATATGCAGTATGTTCACTACAGGGGACAAGTTGCGTCGCTTACTTCGCCTTCGAGTGATGCAACCAGTTCTACAGACCAGCCTCTGTCGACTCGAATATACAAGATAAGCATACAGCAATTTTACAAATTTAAAAGTATTTGAAGAAAGTAATGCAAACGCACCCTACATCCTGGAGAGGGTTTTACCAAGTATAAATGAAGAACCGGCTGGCTTAGCGTGGGCCGAAATGTGGACTGGTCATTTTTCGAAATTAGTGGAATCTCGCAGGGGGGGGGGCGCAACAACAAAACTTCGGCGATTTAAAACAAAACTTCCAACTATTCTCTATCGACTGACGTAAAATGAAGTTCCTACTTGACTGCATTAGATCTATATATAATTTTGAAAGTATAATATTCCTTTAGGGATATGGGATAGCTCAGTCGGTATAGCGACGGACTATGAACTGGACACACGGGGTTCTTTTTCCGGTAGGGGCAAGAAATTTTTCCTACTCGACAGCGCCTACCTCGTCTCCGAAATGCATCCCGCTTCGGACCCACTGGATATTGTAAGCCCTTTCCCCGGGGGCAAGATGACCTTCGGCGGGGGATTAGACCGCCTCAAGGTCTCTACCTATAAACACAATAAACGCATGCAGACATCCATGCCTTGAGTGGCATTGGAACCCATGATCCCAGGGTTCGAGCGAGCGAAGACCGCACGGCCACTGTGATCGGCAGATAGTTGATATAGGGTCATTAAATAAACTGATATTTCAACAACAGATACGGTTGATGAAACGTGAAAGAGCAGCCGAGAGAAACTGTGTCCTAGAAACTGTATTCTCAGAATATCCTATGTAAGATTTGAGGTTTTCACGGCGGTGACTATGAAGAAAGCAGTCTTCTGGGATGTGGGGTCATGTAGATGTGGTGTTAACGGACGTTTCGGAGGAACGTATCGCCTCCATCTTCAGGGTAGAAGGAAAAATAAGAAATCCGCAAGCGAAGAGACCTTGAGAACGTTCCTCCGAAACGTCGGTTAACACCACATCTACGCGGTGCCACATCCAAGAAGACTGCTTTCTTCTTAGAATATCCAGCATCCACGGGTTTCCTTCTGTGCCTTCCCAGAAAATCAATGTCTTCCAGTTTGTCTTTCTGATATTTACTTTAATGACTTTTGGTTATAGCCGAACTTTACTGTTTGATTCTGCCCTACTTCTGAGGGTCAGATCGAAGGCTCTGGGGACAGAGAAGGAAGAATTCACCGATTTTACTGGTTTCATTTTTTTTTTAAGTTTCGGGTTCAACCTTCCTAGATGACCGTCAAAAAAGGATGTCTGTCGTGGGTGGGGGGGGGGGTGAGGGGGAGGCCTCGGACCCATAGCTCGAGCCATCTGAAACTCGTTTACGTTGTCAAACAGGGTAAGATGCCTACATCAGCCAAACTCCACGTTTATCTCCGGCAACAAATTTCTTGAATGTGGGCTATGGGAGTCTTGCAAGAAGTCAAAAAGGAGGAGCAACTTACGTTTCTGGAAATGGAAAGATTTTCCTCGTCTCTCGCGTGCCGCTGTTTGCTTCTGTTTTTATTCCCCCCAAAGAATAGGAACTTGCCTTCGAAAAGAAACATAAACCGAGGAAAGGTAGAGGCCCTGCGCACTACAAAACAATATCGGCACGGAAATGACGTATGCTACAACAGAGCGTGTCGGAAGTGCATCGGAAGGCGACAATTCATACAGCGACACGCTATCATATCTGTGGAAATGCATGCAAATCCTTCCTTCTAAATCAGCGCTGTCGGGACCCATGTTCCATCCAGTAACTCAAGTACGGCCAGGATCTTTCGATTTCTTTACTGAGCGAAACTTCTGCACCAGACAGACATTTCTCTCGACTCTAATTGGGGTGGCAATTAGACAACCAACAAGTTAAGAAACGTACGCATGTCATAACAATTCTGGAGCTATATTGCTATATATTTTCAGTTTGTGACTATTAACTTATGATCCTTAGCGTCGATTTAACCTACTTACTTACTGATGGAGCTGGGACCTTCTTGAGGAGAAGCCAAATCTGCAGTTACTCAAAAATTTCCCAGCATTTTATGGAACCCGAAGGTTCATTACCGTGTTCACAAGAGACCTCCACTCGTCCTTATCCTGAGCCAGATCAATCCATACCACAGCATCCTGTCTCTCTAAGATCCATTTTAATATTGTTCAATCACCTACTTCTTGGTCTTCCCAGCGGTCTCCTTCCTTCTGGCGTTCCCACCAATATTCTATATGCATTCTTCATCTCCTCCATTCGTGCTACATGCCCAGGCCACCTCATCCTCATTGACTACATCCTTCTAATTATACTTGGAGAAGAGTACAAGTTATGAAGCTCCTCATTTAAACTGAATTTAATCAAATTTACAACGAGTTGACCAATTTCAACAAAACTGTGCAGCATTAAATTTCAGGGAAATCCGTTCAGGTATTCTCCTTGGATACACGGAGCAGGCTAATTTGTTAACTCTCGTTCCTAATACGCCAAAAGGGAGGAAATGTGAGACACACGGATGTACAGGCTTAATCAATAGGAGCAGGGAGAGCTGTTTCTTCCACTGCCCTGTGCAGAACTCCCTTCAGTGTGCGCTGGCTCCACTGACACTGCATACAGTGAGGCAATGGTAGTCCCATGCTGAAGCTA